CACACCTACAACATTTTGAAGAAATAGGTTGATTTGTCTATGAGAGAACGTGTATAATATTAAATTAGTTTCATTTTAATGTTTTGTCCAAAACAAGATTGTGGTTCATACTTTGCCATCTTACTATGCTTTTGTTAAACGCGATCACCTACTTTCTTTCAAACTATGATAACATGTAAACAGATTTTAGCGCATTATAAAACTTAAACAGTTTGGTGCATTGGTGAATTGGCGCACTCAAAATGAATGATATAGATTACAATTAGCAGGAACAATTACTATACTATACTAATTATATCTTCTCCCAAACTATGTCATTGTTTCTCTAAGCAACGTTTTGACCTCATGGAAACACCGCGTGCTCTATATGGTTATGCTTCTTATCCGTTTGTTAATGGACCTTTTAAATCCGCCGCAGTTTGTAGATCCCAATGAAACGCGCTCGTACATTTTGTTGCCGTAGATGTAGCGTCCATTTGCCTCTATCATTCCAAGAAAATGAGCAGATGCGTAAGGACAGAAGACGTCGTTATCGTCGTCGTCCTCCCCTGAGCTAATGGCATCTTCTATGTCAGTAACTGAAGAAAAATCAGATTAATGATAACGCTATTTTAAAGAAATGACAGATGTTTAGGTTGCTTGTAAAAACAACTATGACGGTAAGCTTGAAATTTACAGATAACATGTTACGTTTGTTATTGCAAAACTATTAGGATCTGAAGATATCCGAAAAGTAATACATTGAAATGAAATACAGATCTGATGCCGAAGCCAAGTACAAATGTAAACGATTATTTTTGTCGAATGAAGGTATGCAGGTGAATTTACATATCTAAATCTTTTCAAAAACATTTACACTTATCAGGCAAAATAGGCCAAGGTATGTTATAGGCACTTTCATGTAATCATATTTTACGTGTTGAATAAATTAATAAATGCTTGCTAATTTGGGAGAATATATAACTCGGGAGTCTGAAATGTTGAAAAGATAGTAAACCTTTGCAGCATTGGTCTTCTTTAATTATTTTAATGCAACATTTTCTTATCCTCTTTACATATTCTACCACAATACAGGCACAAATGTTGTTATTTCTTCAACAAGTTATAAGCATATGACATAATGCGCTAAAGCAAATACGTTAAATACTTTTAGATTTGATTGGAAAAAACGTTGACAATTTAACTACGTTTATTCCTGATGTACTTAGCTAAACATCATTATCTGAAACACCTAAATAATTAATTATCTTCAATAATACTGATTTTCTCTTTTACTTCTACATAAATACAGCCAACATACCAGCAGGACTGGCAGTGAATGATATTCTTTCATCGCCGTCCCCTGTCATTTGATTCTTTTCCTCCTGGGATGTAATTTGAACCTTTACACTTTCTCTGTACTGCTTGTCTAACTTTACAATTTTATTGTAAAGCGGGCCAACACCTCTGGAATAACGAAAATCAATTTGTCTAACAGTTTTCATTAGACAGGAATAAGCCCGAAAGTGGCATTTCCTGAATTTTTCCCTCTTTAAGACATTAATGATGTCTGTCATATCTTCGGCATTCTTCAACAATGACAGTTGAATGGACGCCAATTTTGACATGATAAGAAGAAATGTCCCCCACACGTTATCATCTGGAGCTACATGTATTTCCAGACATCTAATAAGATGACGTCGAAGTTCCTGAACCACATCTGCATAACAAGAAAAGACCAATCTTAGATATATAGCAGTACCATGGAATAGAATGTCTAAGAGTTCAGTGACGAAGACCACCTACTATTGAAAGTTGAAAGATTTACCTTTGGACAAAATGAGGTGGCGCGTAGAGCAAAGTTGATAAAGTTAAGAAAGGTAAGAAAGTTAATAAAGTTAAGAAAGTTAAGAGGAAACTCAAGATTCTGTAATTTGCTCTTAATATTCCTCGAATTTCGCGACGTCTTTCTATTGTGTGTGATCCATTGCCACTGATGCAAGGCGAGGAACAATATACAGTAGATACTATGGAAATTAATGCAGGTTTAAAATAAAAGGCGTTGTTTGTTTAGAAATACAAGACATTCTTTTCATAAGAAAAGATTTGCGATTAAACAGCATAACATGCATAATTGTTGTAGGGATTTTTTTATTTACAAAGTTTGATAATACTTTAGCTACATATTCTTATAATTATTCCACAAGTTAAGTTTATAACGCTATTAGATCATTTGTCTTTCAAAGTTATCCACATCATCAAGATAATTGTATATGCACATCATATGATTCGATTTGTTATTTGACAATATAAATATAGTTATATGATCGTAAAGCAATCGTTTTGATTTTTTTAATAATATCATAACATCAAATATACGTTGTATTCTTATAAAATAATCACATATCCCCTATTTCCCTATTTAGTAGCTAAGAGCCATGTTGAAAACATCTTTCTACCTACGTTTCAGATTTTCTTTCCCGATGCTTTCGTCATCAAAGCTATTCATAATCTGATCCAAACATAAAGGTCCATTATTCTGCAATATAGAAACCAACGTTGTCAGTAATCAACTTGATAATGCAGGGTCCTTCAATAAATGTTAGATTAATAATTGTTTGCAAAAAATAACTTTGTTTGCCATAAACCCTTAATCAGGTAATACCGGCAAGCAATTATATATGATATGAGTAAAACGTTTAAACGCTTAGTTTTAACTTAATGCAGAACGCAACATTGAATACGCTGTTTAAGTGAAAAACATATTGAGGATAAAACGTTATGAATTAATTCACGTTTGCATGCTATTGTATATTTTCGTCACCTCAACCCTCTCAATGCAGTTTTCATGTTTTCACAACCTTTACTAGACCCGCTGGTATATGTATGAGTATTGATGTGATGATTTGTATGGTTATATTATCTATGATGTATCTCGCTCAACCATTCGCAACACCCTGAAATCAAAATCAATTATTCACTTTAGTACCATATCCTAGTATTGAATGCTGATTGAATAATGATATAAAAATCGCGTTTCCAACACAAAATACAACTTGATTTTTATATCAAGGTACATTGTATCATATTGTGTACTCTTTAATTAACTTTAATCTATTAAACGTCAGACGTCATACGAAATAGAATGTGACAAGGCAAAGTCATTAGCATCACATTTTGGCAGCATTTCTATATTTAGGTGTAGATAATTGTCTATCTGTGCTATTGACTTACCGTTATATTTTGGCCATCTGTGATACCTGTAAAGGAAATAAGAATGATTGGTGAAATTGCTTGATAATAAAAACATGTTATTACAACAATTATAATAGGCATTATAACAACATCACTTTGACATGAATGATGACATTATGAACATTTTAGTTTTCGTTATGGCGGATTTGTAATATTAATAAATCAATTAATAACAAAGGAATAGTTAATAAACAAATAATATATTGGTGACATGATTGACCGAAATTTACACCACACTTCATCTTAAAAGTGACGACATTCTTTCAAGTGTCTACCATGAATGGTATATAAGATTGTTAATGACTAACCTATTTTCTTTGACTTGACAAGAGACATCATGCTGGGTGACACCATCCTCGATATCCAGGGGTAACGCTCACGTTCGCTCTCTACACCGCAGGAATATGTCATAGCAAAACCAAAGGCTCAGTGTACGCCACCTTGTTGATGAGACAAAAAGACTAGTTCGATCCTTTGAT